ATATTGTGCTCCCTAAATGTCTTTTCATTGTCTGCCTTATTCTTGTTTCTTTTTGCAAGCTGTTGTTGTGGTCTTTGTCAGCTGTGCAGGAATTTAAAATTTCAAGTTTCAATAAAACTTGAAAATTTTGCAGGGAAAGATAAAATATATAATTATTTAAATCCCTGATACCCAAATTATATGCTAACTGCTTCACCTATGCATTAACCTTAGGGGAACATGAAATAAATTTGGCTCATAAATTATGAGGTTTGCTTTATTTGCCTTTAACGTGAGTTATGCATTCAATGGAGGCTAATTATGCAATAGTGTGCTCTTGTATTGAATAAAATAATAACTAGCTGCCAGATCGGGTCAGTGCCAAAATGAAGTTGAAGCATTTGCCTAACCTGAAAGCCATTTATTGAGATTGCACTATTCAAGACCACACATTATTACCCTTATACAGATTTTTTTTTTTAATCCAGCTGATTCACATGCCGGTTTTGGCTCCTTTCAGAAATCCAGCGTCTACATCAGCTGGGCTTCAAAGCTGAATGTCTCCTCATAGTGTTCTACTTGGAAATACAGCTGACCCAGACTGATTTCTTAAAGTAGCCAGAAACGAGCATCTGGCCCTAATTTATACTCAGCGTATGGGCTCCCCACCAGCAGCAAATACTTCTCTTGTTCTTGTCTCTCTCATTCCCTCTGATCAGGAAGAGGGGTTCTCAGTGGTACATTCCTCCATTTTTCTGGCTGTGCTTTCTCTCAGCCAAATTCTTCTTTCTACTTGCATAAACTTCTTTTAGTTTCCTTGAAAACTTGCCTTCTTTTGGGAAATTTGTTATTATGACCACAATATTAATATCAGTATTTTTTTTCCAACAAACTTTTACTGATCCCCTACTCTGTATGAAGTGTTATTGATGTGTTTTGAGAGTTTTTATAAGGTAAGTTGTTGTGGGATGCTATTGTGATCCCTGGCTATATATATTCAAATGAGGCAATGTGGACTTTTTCTAGGCTTATTATATCATTGACTTCATTCTCTTAAAAATCTAAATCTCTAGGAAAGACTTTTCCTCTCTTCATTAAAACCCGTTTCTTTAACATTAGGAATAGTAACGCTTCTCTCATTAACAATGGATGCTTGTGAATATTTGTTATTTGAGGTCTTTACTCAGAATCTTAAAAAATAATTCTCAGAAAATTCCAATGACTATTAATTGAGCATTAAATTGCTTTTTTTTTTTCTGAAAAGGGCTTCAGAGTCGGCTCAGTGTCTCACACTCAAGTTATCATACTCAGTCAGTAACAGAGCCAGCAGCATAACTAATGTCCAACTTGTGCTAAGGTTTAACTACTAAGCAATGCTACTTTTAATTTCATAGTACCACATTAATATGGTGCAAATAAATAGCCCACCGTACTCAACAGGTAGCTTTAGGCATATGTAAATCATTTTAAACTCTGCTTGAGGTAGCCCATTGTGGGGCAGCATGGTTCTATTTTCCATCTCAGTGAAAATTACATCATGAGTTAAAATGGTATATCTGACTTGGGGTTGGTTGGAGTGGTCAAGATGATGGATCTAAGATATACTTGAAGGGATAATTGTACACAACCAGTTTAAAAGCTGGTAAATATTTAAGGGTCAAGGGTTAAATGTCAAAGCCACAGTGCTTGAGCACAGCTCCATAAAGTATCAAGAATGACTGGTAATTAAATCCAGGTTATATTTCACCAAAGGGAAATAAATTTGACAGCTAACAACCAATACTGGATTACCACCTTTCAGAGGTTAGGGATCACGCTAGTAATTGTAGGTAGTTTACAGTTTTTAATGTAATGGTTATGGGTAGAATGATTTCTTAACTTTCACAGATCACAATACTAAACAAATCTACATCTTATGAATCAAAATGTTATCACCACTAGGTATATATATTTAGTTCTTCTATCTTCATTTTAAAAGAAATACCCCGGGCTTTATCAGATTAAATCTCCTAAAGAAATGAAATCAAAAGATATGTTCAATTCTTTGTTGTTGAATTATTTTTGTTTGTTTTTTGTGTTTTGGAGAGGTTTTTTTTGTGAGCTAAATATTTCTTTGCAATTAATGATCACTAGTGTTATGGGCCACTGTGAAATGAAGTTAATTAGATTTTCTGCAGTAAATTATGTGTATAATAATGCTTTTTCTTACTCAAAATTTTATTGTTGTGAAGTAGCACAATATCTTAATAACTCCCACTATCCTTTTCCCACGTGTATATATAATAATTGCTTGGTAAGCTTCTTACCTTGAGTGAAAGCTACATACCTAAAGATGAGCTCTATCATATAGCATTAAGCAAACACAGTCATCATAATATCTTTAATAGCCATGTTTACATGCAGATCTGGAGATTATTGTTGCATTAGCTGATTTATAGGGCTATATTAAGTAAATCACACGTGGAATGCTGCTTTCAAAGAGAAGTCAAGAAAAATAGCTGTGGCCTTCCACCTTTTCTAAAGAAACCATTGAAAAAATAGGCAGAAAAAAAGATTGTTCCGTTTCTCCATATCTTCATCTTTGGACTTAGAGAATCAAGAAACTTTTATAGATCAGTTACTACAGTATTTGTTCTGTTCTTGGTATTTGAATTCCACAGCTATGTTCTGTCTGGCTTACCCGAGATTTTACAGAGATAGCTTTCAGTAGAAAAAATAATCAAAGCAGCTTGAGGAAACAATGCCAGTACTAACACCTAAATTTATACTGGTAGAACTCCTTGGTGCAGTCACATTTTCTGTGGATAATTGTGAAAATCAGTGAAATCATCAGAAAACATTTTCAACAATGCTAGTGGGGAAGAGATTTTGACTTATTAAACATGCTATTTAGGAAATGTGTTTGTTTCCCAATAGACTTCCCAAAATTCAGGGACATATCAGACTGAGTGGATTAATAGCCTCAGATTTGAAACTACTCATTTTTGTAGTTGTAGAAAAAAAAATGCATGATGGCCTGTAATAAGTTCATTTACAAATTTGTAAGGTGAGATATCAGAGGGGCAAGTAAGAGCTGAGGTTAGAGGAGTGGGTGAAAACCTCCTCCCCCCTTTTTTTTTTATTAGCTTTTCCTGTATCTGGAGACTTCCTGCCAGGATGGAACATTCCTTTGGGTTCAACATGTGGGAGGTTTTGTATGAGCAGCATAAAAGTCGAGAGACAGGTACCTGCCACTGACCTCAATATGCCTTTTGCCCTTAAACAAAAAGGGAGGGGTAGGGTTTCTTTGTCAGACCTTTCAGAGCCCTCTGTGGTCAGCTGAAGCGTGTGGGACAGCCTGAATTTTGTCTCCCAGGTCCTCCATTTCCTCCCTGTGAGGCCCAGAGTTTCCAGTGTCTGCTCTCGATGCAGGTCTTCCTTTCTGAGAGGCAAATGCTGATCTTGAGATCCTGTCCAGACCTGTGGGAAAGTGCAGCATAGCAATAGCTATTAATACTGTTCCTTTCCCACTCACTCTGAAAGGAACTCCCAACAGGAAGGTTTCATCAGCCTGCAAGAATATAGTTCCTTGGTTTTAACTCTTTGGCTTCTGCATGATTAAGTCCAACAGTGCCTTCACCTTTCAGATGTACAGATTATTTCTATAAAGCAATCATGTATTTATTTCTCCCACTGAGGATGTGAAAATTTCCTAGGGAGAATTTCCCATGATCCTCTAAGGAGATGTTAATGACATTACACTCACATAAAGGAGGGAGGCATTAATATTTGAACTCTACTATGATGATCAGCACTTTCAGCAATTCTTAGAACAGTAGTATAGGCAAGTAAAAATTGGGGAGTCTGAGAGAAGATCACTTTGTCTTGAAGAGAGATTCTTGAGTAAAATTTAACCAGTTTATATTATGAAGTTCCTTTGAGGGTTTTCTTTCTTCAAGGAGTATGTTTTTATAACTTTAGTGGAACTTCCTATTATGTTAATGAGAAATTACTGGTATCCCTTTGAGGGAAGGGCAGAGTCATAAACATCAATTATATTTTAGTACCTGCCAGGATGACTTTGGCAAAATTTAATCCTTTACCAAGTTATCTATTTAAGTTTTCCTTTACATTTTGAAAAATGAAAATGAGACATCTTTGAAATGGATAGTAATGAAACTACTCAATTAAATGTTTTAAACCTTAATTGTTAATATGAATTTAGTTATGAAGCATTCCTTCCCTTATCTCTCTTGATCTGAAAACATAGATGTAATCCACAATGGAAAAAATAATTAGTACTCTTAAAGAATGCTGACATCCAAAGATGAAGGATATTAAAGAAATTCCTATGATATTCCTAAAGTTCCTATAGAAAATTTCTATGATTGTCAGAAGTTGCTATAACTATTTATAATTCTAATGTATCTCAAAGTTACTATCATCCAATTTTTGATGATTTAAGGGGAAAAAATGAGCAAACACAAATAGATCGGCAGGCTTTCCCCCCAAAAAACAATACTTCTGCCCTTTAATATTCAATTTAAATATTATTTTCCTTTTTAAAGGTTAGTGACATAAGCTGAACCTTTTGAAAATTAAATTTTGTAAGAAAATGATTGCAGGGTAAAAGGAAATTGAGCCAATGAAATATAAAGAGTTTTACTTCCTGCATTTGAATTTTAACCTTTTCCCAAACTGTCTCTATTGTAAGATTAGCACAAAGTCTTATCAGCAAGTGAGATGGAGCAGCAGCTGGATCTCATTAAAGCATTTTGTTTAAGCTATTCTTCTTCATTACCTTTGTCACCAAGGCTTTTACTGTGCACAGAAAATGTTACTTTGTGTTAGAGATTTATGTAATTCAGGTGTCTTCTATTCTGAATGAAAGTTTAGCTGCAGCGGGAATGAGAGGTTTACAAGGATAGCCAATAGAAATTTATGGGGGGAAAAGGTAAAAATCTACAAAATCAGTGAAGAAACACGAGTTTATACAATCAGTTTAATGACCACCCTCACCCACTCTTTCTCCTCACTTTTAGGGGCAGCTCCATAACAATAAGAGAGTATTTTTCTGCATACAGAAAGATTATGAGCATTCTTTCAATTTGATTTTTCTACTGGAGTTAGAAGTAAGGATTCTTTTCATTTTCCTTGACTTTTTTTAAACTTAATTATTAATTTGGGGAAGGAGGCAGAATTAGCTGGAATTCTCAGAATACCTTACAGATTCATTAAAACTGTTGAATTTTTGCCTCATCTCTAGCCAGCAACAACAACAAAAAAAATTTAAAGTGGAAGCATTGTGATACTGAAAAGAGCATTGATTCTGAGTCAGAAGCCCTGGATTAGAATCATATATCAAACGCTTAAAACCTCTAGGGCCATGGGCCAGTCACTTGACAACTGAACAGGTAGCTACATGGCGAATCTCAGCACAGAACTTGGAGTCAGGATATCCTACCTGAGTGCAAATCCTGCCTCATACACTTATTAGCTGTGTAACCCTAGACAAGTCACTTAACCTCTATCAGCTTCAATTTACTCATTTTTAAAATCAGGATAATAATAACACTTATTCCACATGGTTATTGTGAGTAATATATATAAAGTACTTTGTAAGCCTTAAAGCACTGTATAAATGTTAACTGTGGTGGTGGTGGTTGAGGTGGAGGTGGAGGTGGTGGAGGTCAGCTGGGGTCTGAGTTTCCTCATCTGTAAAATGAGGGAGTTAGACTAGAGGAATCTTGAGGTCACTTCCAACTTTAGCTCCATCTTAAGTTCCTCTGGATAACGTAAACAATACTAAAAGCAGTTTACCAAAGGGTACATTCATAACCACATAAAACAGGAGAACTTTTTAAATTCAGATTAGATTGGTTAGATCCAATGGCGTCACACTCAGAGGAATGGGGGCCAGTAAACTGTACATAAGGTCCCTGCAGGCCACATGTTGACCTAGTTTTAAAATGCAATATTATCCATTTTTATCTATTTTTTATTTTGTTAAATATTTACCAATGAGATTTTAATAATATATTTAAAATACATTAATATAGAGCTTTAAGGTTTGCAAAGTGCTTCACATGTATTCCTCAATTGGTCCTCAAAACGATAGGTGCTTTTATTATCCCTATTTTATAATTATATATTTATTCTGCACTAAGTGTTGTGGGCCACATGTGACCCACAGGCTACACATTTGACACCTCATCTCTAATCTATAATTATTTAACTTCACTCCTAGTTCTTTATAGATTATAAGAGTAGCGAACAGGCTTGCAAAGCAAATCCTGAATATCAATCATCTTCTGGCAATCTCATTTTACTTTTGTATATCCTGTCTGGATTTTTCTCAGTGGCATTCCTTTTGACCTCAGAAGCAGTCATACCTTGAAATCTTTAAGGTTATGTAGTATATTGCATAATGTGAAAAGTAGGGAGTGGTGAAGGGAAAGAAATGAGTATTTTTTTTTGAATGCCTGCTGTGTGTCATTCATGATGCTATATGCTTTACAAATAGTATTTGATCCTCACACCAAGCCTCTGAAATAGGTTCTTTTATTATCCCTATTTTACAGTTGAGGAAATTTTGTGTCAGTGGTTAAGTGACTTGTGAAGGGGTCAGCAGCTAGTATATGTCTGAGAATGGATTTGGTCTCTGGTCTTCTGGACTGCAGGCCTAGCACTCTATCCAAACAGTACCTCCTAACTGCCACAAATTCAAATAATGTGTAAAATCCTTTATTTTCTTAAATATTAAATTTATATCCCACTCCTTTTCAGGATACAAATAAATTCTTTAGATTAAATCCACTAACTCACATCTTTAAGTTCCATCGTCATCCAAAGCACTATGTGCTGGGCTAAGCAAGTTGAATGGGCCCGGTCCCTTGTTCCTTCTGCAATCTGAGATGCTTGACTCATTCAGTTTTGAATGAGAAAGAACCTGAGAGATCATCCAGTTCATTTCCCTCATTTGAGCCTTGGAGGTGTGAAAATGACAGAGTTAAGAGTAGGACCAGGTCTCTACATTTCCATTTGAGAGCTTCTTTCACTTCACTGCCCTGACTACCTCTGAACAAGAGCTAAAAACTTTATGTGCTCAGTTACATTTTCTCCTATCTTATTATTATTAATCAATTTAGAGTATTAATTTCTGCCATTGAGCATAATGTGAGTAATCTTCTTCCCACAAAGAATGAGTCTGTCAGATCAACTAAGGATTTAATTTCTATCAAACTCAGGGAATAATAAACTTGCATTTTATTCTTGGTGCCAAGTTGAAGTTTAAAATTTTGTACTGTACTATCCTCCCTGCCTTTTAATGGGTAAAATAAATTGGATGTTTAAAGTGTACTATAAATTCTGCCAGACAACAGAGAGAGGGAGACAGACAGACAGACAGACAGACAGACACACACACACACACACACACACACACACACACACACACAGTGAGAGAGAGAGAGAGAGAGTTCACTGACCAAATTTAGTGTTTTTAGAGTCTTTGATTCTCATTTTGAACTCTTTGATTATTTTCACTCAAGTACTGTAATTGGCCTTTTCCTTCCCAGTCTGACCACTAGCTGATTCTTACAGAATTATCGGGGGTTTTTTGACAGATTATAAAGCATCCTAATAGATAATTGTGGTACCATCTGAGCTTTTGTTTTGATTTCTGATATATGATGTCAGTGGCTTATAAATATTATAAAGAAAATCACTGGAAACTTAAAAAGCATGTTCAAATCATGTTTGAATATGGAAAAGGGAGAAAAAGCAAGGTATAATTACTTTTTCGCAAAAATGTAGCTTCTTTCTAATGACTAACATTATTTTGCCCAGACATAGCTTTTTCTTATATATATTCAAAGTGCTTGGTGTAGAAGAGGTCAGCTTCCTATTAGAAACCTAATAAAATACGGAGATGAGAAGCTCAGGGCATGAGTGCTGTGCCTGATTGTCTTTCAGGCTTCCTTTTGAAATCAAATAATTCCCTGTGCCAAGAATCAAACGCACGTGACTAAATTTTCTCACAGGGGGCCATGAAACTGAATGAAACAGGAATTTAAAAGTCTATGAATACTCTTCCTAAAATGATTTATGTTGGACTGTTTGGGGGATTGCTTATTGGATAGTTTTGTGTGATGTTACTGTTTTACCAACCCTCCATTAAAAAAAGAAGTATCTGGTGAATTACACATTTGTGTTGGATAGAGACAGTTACTGTGCTGAGAAATACTAGCCAAAAACTAAGTTATTTTTAATTTTGTCTTACACAGGAGTGTAAAGAAGTTTGTTTGTTTTTTAAACCAATGAGGGAGAATAGTAATCTGAGTACTCTCCACATAGTTGTCATGTACTAAAAAAGATGGATCCCAACTGGAACAGACTGACAGAAGATCTATCATGGTGCCCCCTGACATTAGGTAACCTCCTGTAGCCCTTGAGACCTTCAGAGCAATTGCTCAGGGAAATGCAACTTTGCTGGTCCATGTCTGTCGTGCCAAATGGAAATGTGTCTTAAAATAGCTTGGCTACTCTTTTCACTACTGAGAAAATTTTAAATGGAATATTTACTTTAAAGAGTAGAAATGAAAGAATGTAGAACAACATCTTTCAGTTTGATCCTAATTGAAAAAACAATTCCATTGATCAGTGTAATTGAAAACATAACAAATACTTTTATCTACTTGTCATTATTTTTCCTTTGCTAGATTTCCACTAGTAGATTCTAAAAGAATATCCTTAATAAAAGTTTTATTACAATGTCCTGTAAATTTCTTTTAGAAATAAACTTGCTATGTTAAATCTATTATGTGTATAAAGACATTTTTTATTTTTAAATGAGTAAAACTGGTGTTATTCTGCTAAGTATTGGAATGCATGTATTTTTTTTTAATGGAAACATTTCCTATGAAGATATTTCAAGACATTATAGTTGGGATATAAACCTCTTAATTGACTTTGTCTAATGGGCAATGTTGTCTTATCTTCATTTCCATCTCCATAAATTATCCTTTTTGTTGAATAATGAACATTTTGCTATCCAGAACTCATCCATCTGAAGCAAAAAAGAAAATTAAAACTATTGTTTTCTTGGTTTGAGTTTTAGAACTTTGCTGAAAGAAACAGGTCATCCAAAGTATGTGTGGGGTGTGGATTTTTTTGCTACATAAAGATTTGTCATTAATCTAAGCATATGTCTCCTTGTGTTAAGTAATTTACGGTTTAATTACAGTCTTGCTATGCTCTCTCAGGAAGGGGAGGAGAAGGAAAAGGAAGAAAAGGCAAAAAAGAGGTTTTTGTAATTGTGTGTTGCATTCAGGATTTAGATCTCACCTTATAAAGTTTTTATTACAACCTCCTCCTTCCATACTTGTGCCATGATATAGTGAATCACTCCTCCTTGTCTCTGAATACAAGTGCAGTTCTCATGTTTTATCCTGACACCTCTTAGATGAGCTTCCCATGCACTAGGAAGGGAGGACACTTGATGCTTCTAATGTTATTCTGATGCCTCCCCTTCTCTTCCAGCTTTGGCCATGAAGCTCAGTAGGAGATGACATGTAGCCTGTCCCCTTGCTGATTAATGTACTTGAGGGTTCATACCACCCTTTGTCTCCTTGCAGTATGTTCATTATAAAGGCTCAGCTTTTCATATATTCAGCTGTAGGGGTGAGCTAGGCAGAGATCCAGTGGCGCCAACATTTTCCGTCCTTTGTATGAGTGCTCAGAGACCAATCCCAAGAAGCTGACAGTGGTTTCACTCACCGCTAATGATCTTCAGTAGCTGAAAACTTCCTTCCTTGTGTGGCCCAAACACTTTACTGGATAAATGTGTGATTTGGATTGCAGCTGTAAGGGCCAAAGCATGATAAGGTTCATTTTACATGTCATACTTGCACTATGAAAGTTTTCTCTGAGGTTTGTCAGACATATTGCAGGCACAATTTAATTCCAAGAAAAAAGTTAATTTCTGCCTGAGCAGGCGTTAGCATCTGTGTTTTCCCAAATGTGAGGACCTCAATTTGCCATTTGTTTTTTTACTAATTATATAGACATTCAAGCCAACAGTTTAGTGGCAGATTTTTTCTTTTCCAGACCACTATGTCACAGGTCTCAGCCTCACCTGGACTCTTCCACCTTCCTCTCTTTTTTAGTACTATCTTTTACTGCTTATGTTAACAGGTCACCTTTGAATAACTCTCAGTGGAATCAAATACTGTTTCAAGTCAAAATAAGTCTATTCATACCCTCATCTCCACCCACAACCTCAAACCTTTTCTATTATTTATGAACTATTAAAATTAGGAAGGTATTTCTTCAATCTTGTTGCATATACAAACATGCACGCACCGAGATAAAATTATGAGTGTATAACTTGCCAGAGAAGTATGAAAAATAAGCTCACTTAATTCCAGGGTTTAAAAGATTACATTATGCATAGTAAAGATTTTCTTCAGCTTACAGTCTTGAAAATTGTAGAACAATTTCATTTTACTGTCCTACTTGCCCTGGTAAATAACCTGTAAATGGACTCCAGCTCTTCATATAAATAATCCCTACAGGTGTGCACAGAGCTTTCAAGACATCACTGAAAACCTAAGAAGGGTGGGAAAGTCTTTGTTCAGATGCAGGTGGATCCTCAGAAAGCCAAATTTTAAAAAGCTTTCTCTTGATTATCTTCAGAGTGACATGGTATTCCTCAGTGTCTGTGTGCATAATATAGAATCATATTCCCCTAAAAGCTGCCTTTGGGATTAATACCTCTAAGTGACACATGGTACCTACTCCCTTTCGCCCTTGGCTAGTGGCCACAACATTGTACCAAAAAAAAAAAGTACAAAGAGGTACTTAATGATGCCTTGCATTCAGAATATGCATACCGCTGAATGCCATGTAGTCAAATGAGGACTATGGAGATGATTTAGAAGGACCTAGTGTACCCATTAAATGCCTAAAATCACACTAATGATTTTCTATCCAACCAGGAAACCATTTAATGATGACTGTGACTGAATATCTATCCTCCATGGCACTATTTTGGAAACAAGTTGTTTCTCTACTGGCAAAATGAAGCAGGTCATTTGCCCTATCTCCAGAGAATTTCTTGCTTTCCATTTCTGTCAAAGTGATCATTTGGAAAAATGCTAGCAAGATTAAATTCTTTTGGTAAATTGTTTTCTAGGTTTGGTTGAAAAGCATTAACTTTTTTGAAATGGACAAACATAGAAATAACTCAAAATGTCAGAATGGAATTGAGAATTTTCTCTGTTTCTTTTTCTAATGCAAGAATTTAAGTTTTCTACTTAGCTTTGTAGTATAGTATTTCTTCCTAAAAGATTTATTTCAGTGATTTTTCAATACTTGGGAAAACACTATAAACCATTTTTTCAAACAGGACAGGGATAGGGTCTTGACTTGTAATTTTTTTGTATAGGGAACTTCCAGATGGGGAAATTCACTCTGTCAATAAAGTTAAGTACTATCTCTGCAACTTAAGAGTCAGAGTGTTGCTTAGAGCGCTGATAGGTTAAATAACTTTCCCAAGAGGCAGGATTTGAACTGGCTACAAGGCCAGTTCTCTCTATTCTACTCCGCAAATGCCTCTGTAAGTCAGATTATTGTTAATGTAGTGCATCTTCATCCCAGGTTCAAATTAGTATCTCATTTGTTGTTGCTGGGTTTCCTTACAGATTAGAGAAAGGGGCTAAGAAATGGTTTTGGTCCTAAAAGAGAATTTCTGTCCATTTTCTTTTTCTTGTCCTTGTTGAGGAAACAAGTTGCTTCTTAGTTACTCAATTGTTAATCAATAATAATATAATAGGTAGCACTTATATGGAGCTTTAAACTTTGCAAAGAATTGTACAATTACATCATTTGATCCTCATAACAACCCTGGAATATAGTTAGACAGCTAAGTTGCATAGTGGATAAAGCCCTGAGCCTAGAGTCAGGAAGACCTGAGTTCAAATTTGACCTCAGACACTAACTATGTGACCCTGGGCAACTCACTTAACTACTGTTTGCCTGACTGTCCTGAACTGTAAAATGCAAATAATAATAAAACCTACTTCCCAGGGTTTATTTAAGAATAAAATGAGACAATATTTGTAAAGCACTTAGCACAGTGCAGGGCACATAGTAGGTGTTATATAAATGGCTAGTTGTTATACTGTTTTTGTCATTATTATTATGTAGGTATATTATGTAATACTATATATAATAATATTGTATGTTATTATGCAGGTCACTCTTTGTGACCCCATGGACCAGAGCACACCAGGCCCTTCTGTCCTCTACTATCTCCCAAAGTCTGTGCAAGCTCATGTTTGTTGCTTCCATGACACTATGTTTCCATCTCATCTGCTGCTGTACCCTTCTCCTTTTGCCTTTAATCTTTCCCAACATCAGGGCCTTTTCCAATGAGTCCTGTTTTTTCATCATGTGACCAAAGTTTTTAAGCCTCAGCTTCAATCTTTGTCCTTCTAATGAGCCATCTGAATTAATTTCTTTAAGTATTTACTGATTTAATTTACTGTTCAAGAGACTCTTTAAAAAGTATACAATGTTATCATTATTATTATTATTATTATTATTATCTTCATTTTACAGATAAGCAACCTGAGGTCAACTTGCTTAGGAAGTCACTTAATAGCAATTAATATAGCAAGTGTCCAAGACTGGATTTGAGCTCAAGTTTTCTCAACTGCAGGTCCAGTGCTGGTCCAGAGTCACCTAATTAATCTCTTAATGACTTCAAAAGTGGACATGAACCCATGGTTGACAAATCTCTTGTTGATTCAGATAATGGATTTCTTAAATTAGTTGTTGCCTTGACACCCAAATAAATAATATTTTCTACTAGAAAGCAACATGTCCAAAGTTTCCTATTCCATGTAAACTTCCATTTATTAGGTCAGCTATACTGTTTAAATCTACAAATAGCTTTTCATAGAAGATCATAGATTTTTAGTGTGAAGGATTAGTCTATGCCTCTCTTTTTGCAGATGAAGCCACTGAAACTCAGAAAAGTGAAGTAATTTACCCAAGGTCACACATGTCACAAGTCAGAGAAGCAATATTTGAACTTTGATTCACTGACTCCAAGTTCAGAGTTCTTTCCACTGTATCCATGATGCTTCTGTTCCACAAACAGGAGCTTCTAAATCAATAAGGGCATGTGTTTTTTTTTAAATACTATGCATAAACCTTAACTGGATCTTATAGTAGTAACCAAGTATTCTTTAAGAATTAGAAATTGTGGAACTATGCCCAAAGGGCTAAAAAAATGTGCATACCCTTTGATCCAGCAATAGCACTTCTAGGGCTATATCCCAAAGAGATCATATAAATGGGAAAAGGACCCACATGTACAAAAATATTCATAGGAGCACTTTTTGTGGTGGCAAAGAATTGGAAATTGAGAGGATGCCCGTCAATTGGGGAATGGCTGAGCAAGTTGTGGTATATGAATGTAATGGAATACTATTGTGCTGTAAGAAATGATGAACAGGCTGACTTCAGAAAAACCTGGAAAGACTTATATGGTCTGATGCTGAGTGAAGTGAGCAGAACCAAGAGGACTTTGTACACAACAACAGCCACGTTATGTGATGACTACTGTTGTGAAACTGAACCCTTCTCAGCATTACAA